AATAAATCCCATTGCACCAAATAGTTTTTTAACTGCTACAATGTAGGCCGGCATGCCTCAAAGCAAACAACTTGGTATGCCCAGTAAGGAGAGATTTGAAAACACAACAACACTCAGTACTTGAAAAGTTAAATGTCTCTTAGAGTACATCTAAACTTTAGAACCAATGCAGTTTGACACCACATTAACTGCCATGGCTCAATGCTATGGAATTCTGGGAGATTTAGTTTGGAGAGGGGCCAGAATTCTTTGGCAGAGAAAGCTAAAGTTCTTGCAAAGCTATAACTTCCATCAGGCATGTAGCCGGGGGGGGGGGGGGGGGGGGTTGAGGGGCTTCAGCCCCCCCCCCCCCGAAATTCTCATGGTGGTTCGCGAAAAGGCCTTACTGGTGCATTATTTAAACTGTTATGATTATTCATATCATGATCTGATCACCATACTCAATATATCCCATATGCATGGGGGTATTGGGGTAATGATACAAAAGGTTTGCTAGGCTAGACCCTCTTTCACTCAGACTCACCCCCCCCGAAACTCAGCCCCCCCAAAAAAAAATTCAGGCCCTCCCGAAACGAAATCCTGGCTACGGGCCTGACTTCCATGATTCCATAACACAGGGTCTTAGCAGTTAAAGTAGGGTCAAACTCCATTAATTCCATAGTAGATACTCCCCTTGAAAAAGACAGCCAATATGTGTAAAGAATTTTGATTGACTCCAAGTGTCTTAATTTCCTATTATGTATGTAATTCGATAGAGCTACAAGCTGGGTAGATGCGGGGAATGCCGTGGATGTAGCGTACCTGGATTTCAGTAAGGCCTTCGACAAGGTCCCCCATGACCTTCTGGCAAGGAAACTAGTCCAATGTGGGCTAGGCAAAACTACGGTGAGGTGGATCTGCAATTGGTTAAGTGGACGAACACAGAGAGTGCTCACTAATGCTTCCTCTTCATCTTGGAAAGAAGTGACAAGTGGAGTGCCGCAGGGTTCCATCCTGGGCCCGGTCCTGTTCAACATCTTTATTAACGACTTAGATGAAGGGCTAGAAGGCATGATCATCAAGTTTGCAGACGACACCAAATTGGGAGGGATAGCCAATAGTCCAGAGGACAGGAGCAGAATTCAAAACGATCTTGACAGATTAGAGAGATGGGCCAAAACTAACAAAATGAAGTTCAACAGGGACAAATGCAAGATACTCCACTTAGGCAGAAAAAACGAAATGCAAAGATACAGAATGGGGCGATGCCTGGCTCGAGAGCAGTACGTGTGAAAAAGATCTTGGAGTCCTCGTGGACAACAAGTTAAACATGAGCCAACAATGTGATGTGGCGGCAAAAAAAGCCAATGGGATTTTGGCCTGCATCCATAGGAGCATAGTGTCTAGATCTAAGGAAGTAATGCTACCCCTCTATTCTGCTTTGGTTAGACCACATCTGGAATATTGTGTCCAATTCTGGGCACCACAATTCAAGAGAGATATTGACAAGCTGGAATGTGTCCAGAGGAGGGCGACTAAAATGATCAAGGGTCTGGAGAACAAGCCCTATGAGGAGCGGCTTAAGGAGCTGGGCATGTTTAGCCTGAAGAAGAGAAGCTGAGAGGAGATATGATAGCCATGTATAAATATGTGAGAGGAAGCCACAGAGAGGAGGGAGCAAGCTTCCTTTCTGCTTCCTGGAGACTAGGACGCGGAACAATGGCTTCAAACTACAAGAGAGGAGATTCCATCTGAACATGAGGAAGAACTTCCTGACTGTGAGAGCCGTTCAGCAGTGGAACTCTCTGCCCCGGAGTGTGGTGAGGCTCCTTCTTTGGAAGCTTTTAACAGAGGCTGGATGGCCATCTGTCAGGGGTGATTTGAATGCAATATTCCTGCTTCTTGGCAGGGGGTTGGACTGGATGGCCCATGAGGTCTCTTCCAACTCTTTGATTCTATGATTCTATGTATGTATGTATTTCTATCCTGCTTTTGTCCCAGGTTGGGACTCAAAGTAGCGAACAACATATAAAAAGCAAAAACATAACATACAATAAAGATAAACAGGAACATAATAAATATAATCATATCTAATAAATTTATAAAAAAAAAACCCACATCAATGCAATTAGCATCCTATTCACCTATTCCCACCTTTGAGATGTAAACTGATGTTTTTAAGAATCTTCTCACCTTTTCTTTACTGACACTTTATTTTCTCGTATCTACCAATAGTTAAACGAGTTTACTTCTGAACAGTTATCTATCTTATCTTCACTGGAGTTTTTTAAAAGTAATTTTTATTGATTTTTTAGGGGAAAAGAAAAGAGAAAAGAAAAATAAAAAAGAAGAGGGAAAAGGGGGGGGTAATAGGGAGTAGGAAAGTTTAATGGGTAGGAAAAAGGAAGAATCTAACAATGGTTAAAGGGGTATGGAAGTCTCCCTACTAATGGAGATTGGAGTGGAAGGTCTGGGGGAGGGGGGGAAGGAAAGGTAAAAAAAAGGGGGGGGGGGGCAAAAAGGAAAAAAAGAAAAAAGAGAGAAAAAAGTTTCTTGAAAAAAAAAAGAAAAAGGGGAAAAAGAAAAACTGTAAAAAATATGTAAAAATAAAAATAAAAATAAAATCTTCTTGTTGACTTCCAAATTCTTTTCCTGTCCGGGAGATTGATCTCTTCACATTTACCTCCCTGTTGTTCCTTTTTGCCGGCAACTGCTGGCAAAATGGCAGAGTGCCTCGTGTGCCCACCCTCTTTTCCTATGACAAGGAGGGAATGGGACAAGGTGAGTTGGTGCCCTGTCCCTGTCCCCATCAGATCGGGCTACCCAAAATACAACTTCCAGTACCTTGCATTAGTGGCACCACTTCAGGGATCAATGGGGAGGGGCCAAGCCAGTGTCATCTGATGGCGCTCAGCAGGTCCCATCCCAGAAGAGGAGAAAGGGGCCAAGAGCCCCAAGTGTGATAAGGTCCCTAGTTTCTTTCTTTCCCTACTGGTGTCTTTGCTGCTTATTTGCTAGTGATTACACACACACACATGTTCCATCAAGAACAAACAACACTTGATGAAATTCCTTCTTTTTTGCAATTATTGAAAAGACAGCTGCCCTGGCCCTGAATTTTAAACTTGTGTCTTGTGTTTAATCTTTGTTCCATGTATTTTAATATGTATTTTATAGAAATACATTTTAATATGCATTTCTTTAAAATAGAAAAACGTTTTAATAAAATTGCTCTGAATGCAATTTTCCTGCTTCTTGGCAGGGGGTTGGACTGGATGGCCCATGAGGTCTCTTCCAACTCTGTGTTTCTATGATTATGATTCTATATGTGAATTTATAAAAGTTTTACAATGTTTATGTGTTTTAATTATGCTGTAACCTGCCACAAGGAGAGGCAGGTAAGAGTTGTTGTTGTTGTTGTTAATTTCACCTGTCAACCCTATCTCCAAATGCATGGCGGGACCAACCCTGCTTAGCTTCCAAATCAGAAAATGTAGGTTGCATTCAGAGTGTTGTGGTGCCATTTCCTGAGCAGGCATTATATTGTGAGCTATTCAGGTTGTAATGAATTTAGGGATGGCTTAATCATGAGTGTGCAATTAAGACCAATTTCTTTTTTCTTTTCTTTTTTTTACAGAATTGTTCCTGCTGAAAACTGAGGACTGGGGAACAGGTTTTTCCAATTGATTGACATTTTAGATTTCCTTTTGGTACATTTGCTGACTGCACCAATGACCCTGCACCCACCTGGTTCCCTTAAATTGTGGACTGCAACTTCAATTATCAGCCAGCATGGACAATGATGGGAGTTATAGCTAACACATAAGAAGACTATATTATAGCAAAGACTATGCTGGATGGGGACTACAGAATTTGCAATCTAACATTACAAGATGGAAGGAAATTGTATAAATTCATTCTAAGCAGTTTGACAGGCAATATCAGCCTTCCCCTCTTTTAACCCAGTGCAATTTTTCCAGTTCCAGCCCTTTCTTTCTTGATATCTTGAATTTTTCTACAGAGGAAAAGACTGTCCAGGGAGCTGTGGTAAGCAGTGATGTAGGTCAGAGATCATCTGACTATCCTGGGTGAGAAATATTACCCAGAGAACAAAATATTACAGAAAAAAATCTCATATGTCTTTATGGGAGCCTAGAGATGTGAAGCTTGTTACAGTTTTGGCTATCTAAAGCAATCCTTTGTAGCAGGAAGCTCTGCCTACTGCATTTTTTGTTTGTTATTGGTGGAGAGGCACCTCATTTAGTTCATATTTATACAGGTTATGGTTGATGGGTAAAACACTCAGAAGGACTGTTTTTGCTGAGTGAAAGAACCATTACTGCCTCCTATTTTGCAAAGTACTATGCGGTGTATAAAGTGATTATCAAGGAAATAACTTCATCTGCAACAGAGAAGAAATGGCCATAAAATAGTTTCCTACCTTAGGAAGGTTGAAATGACAGACAAGTTTTATTTGCTTCCTGTCGGTTTGGCTGAACCTGTTCTTTCTGTGCACAATAATTCTGTCAAAAGATAAAGAGCTGCAATCACCACCCTCCCCCAAATTATCTCTGGCACTGAACCACCAACATTGATGAGATTCCTTAAGTATCAAAATATGGAATACAAGCCTCACAAACCCGTGAAAATAAAGTAAGTCCATTTTAGGTTCTTCCCTGTCCACGCTTCATTCAACAGTGTCATAATTACACAAGCAGAGACAGAACAATGGAGACAGTTTAGTGAAACACAATAATATTTCAAGTCTAAAAACTATGAACTGGACTTGAGATATTTGCCCAAACACAACCAGTCCTGTCTTCAAAATCTTGAACTATGTTAATTTAGAGCAGTAGTTCCCAACCTCTGCTCCTACAGTTGTTTTGGACTTCAACTCCCAGAAATCTCAGCCAATTTGCCAGCTGTTAGGAATGGTGGGAGCTGAAGTCCAAAATCCTGGAGGACCAAACACTGAGAATCACTGATCTAAAAGGACTGATAATTAAGGCAGCAATACTTACATTGATCAAAGCCATAATCCAGAAGGCATAGGATACTCGTGTCACCACCAGTCCTTTGGTAGGCAGGTCATAACTGGACAGGTTCCCAGGATGATGGGGGACCAGAGACTTCCGGATGTGAGGGAGGTTGTCATTGCCAGTTGCAGTGCCATTCGCCAAGATACAATTGGTGTCTGACAAAAATGGGTCAGCTATCAGTGGGCTCAGCAGAGCACCGAAACCCACAAAGAAATGAAGGACCTACAAAATGGAAAGGGAAACCAGGAATTACTTTCAACATAATGATTCCAGGCATCTCTGCTAACAAATATGTCCAGATAAATGTCACCAGATTCCCATCCATACATATTTATATGAAGTGAGCACCAATTGTAGCTTTGAATTGCTGGATTCTGATCTAGCAGCTTTCCTAATCAAACCTCTTCCATAAGTACTGCAATGTGATAAGAAACCTAGTAGTCTCCTAGAATGCAACTTTGAAGTCCTTTTTAGATACTGATTTATAATATTACTATGTGACAAAAATGATCATAGCAAAAATAGCATAGTAAAAAAGTAGCAACATTAAAAACAAATAAAACTGTATCAAACCAATATTACAATGTGTTGTGTTATTCACACTGCATCCCTATACAGGTTTTTATTTTTATAGCAAATAATTAAACATAATGAGATAGTTCCATTAACCCTCATTAGTCAGATTCATATGGTGCAAACAATTCTGGAGGGATATGCTATGTGATAGAAGGAAACTGCAATACTATCTCCACAGGACAGGACATGTGCACAGGTTAGGATCCTGTGATATTGCACTGCACTATTCTTATGAAAGCAATGCTGCCTTTTCTTAAATGTTGTAGTTTGTCTCTTTGTCATCCTTAGTCCAAATAGGACTCCTAAGATTACAAATGAAGGGCTAACTTTGGAACAGGAAAAGTGTTGTACATATATGCTCCAGGGCTTACTGTGACACAACTGCCCAGATATAAAATATGAAGAATTCCACAAAATAGGGTGATAAAATAAAAGCAGGAGAATGAGGCAGGAGAAGAGGGTTGACAAATGCACTTATTGTGATGTTACCGGCAAATGTATGTTTTGTCTAGGTTATAGAGCCCAATTTAGTCATTCTTCTGCCAAGCATCTATTCTGACTTTAGGAACATCAAGAAAGGGTTCAGTGAAACAAGAAAAAAAACCCTTAAACTATAACCTGGGGAAGCTGGAAAGTTTGTTTGGGTCTAAGTTCAGAACCAAGTATGTATGTTGGCTAGCTACCAAGTCCAGCCAAAGTTTGTAGTACTATGGCAAGGAGTCAAAACAGCAAAAGATCCAAGGGTCCAAAAAAGGAAGCCAGGTTCCCACAGCTCTTTGTCTCACCTGCAAGAAGACAGCTGAATCCTTCTGATAAATCTTCACCAACTGCATATTTGAGAGTGTATCGATGCACCCCATGGCCAGCCCCGCCATAGCCATGACCACTGCGAGGACCACCACATTGTGGCAGATGGGGATGATGGCAAAAACCACCGAGATAGCAAGCGATGATGCAAAGAGGGCAAGCAGAGAATGAGCCAACCTGGAACAAAGGGAAGAGGAAAAAGAGAAAGATGTACTCTTGTATTTGTTGTCATTGATAATGTTTACATCTCACCTACTAACTATAGTTTTTGAGACAGGTTAGAGGGAGGGAGGGAGGGAGGGAGGGAGGGAGGGAGGAACTACCCTTAATAGCAAAATAAGCTTAAATGCTAAACCAAAAAAAGGGGACAACACATTGAAAATTATAAATAGCAGCAGTATTGCTTAAGGATCCATAAAAACTGAGATAAACAATAAGATATCAGCACTGTACCTAAAAATAATCAAAGTAAACACAAGATTACTTGATTAAAAAACCGATGAAGAATATGTTGCTTTCCATATTTGATGCTATTGTGTGTGTCTTCAATTGTTTCCAATCCAGCGGGTTTCATAGTTGAACAGGGATTTGAATCCTGATCTCCAGAGTAGTCCAATGTTCAAGCCACTAGATGCTGGATCTTGTCCAGCTACAATTCAAACGAGCCCTGACCAGCACAACCAATGTGAGGGATGATGGGAAAGTGAAGCCTCTCCACATCAGGATGACCATGTATTCTCCATCCATGAAATAATGTGTGGGACTTTGACATTAAATTGTGAGCCACTATTACATAAAATGATCTATCATCTTAATTGTAGTTTAATTGGGCCAAAACTTCTGGAAGTCAAAATGGGCTTCCAACAAAGATGTTTTAAAAATGAGATTGTTTAAATATTGTTTGAACCAGTCAAAGAAAACTCCAAGCCCTGACTTTTGAGGAAGGTTTCTTATGGATCAGGCCCATCATTCTGAATTATTTTTGGAGACAAAGAAGCAGACCTTAAGGTAGACCCCCTCTCCTCCCATTTCAACCCATCAGCTGTTCAGAACACAATGTAGTTTTTTAATGGTCTTCACAGGCAGCACTTCATATTGTACATTACAGTGAATCAGAATATTACCAAGGTATGAATCACCATTTTGCAGAAAGGCTCACAGCAGGAACATTGGCAAATTAATGGTGGTTTGTTCCATGACTGCCTCTCAGGACTGGATCTATTAAAATTGAAGCTCCCAAGTCTTCTAAGTGGTGGAGCCCAATCCATCACACTGTACCCCAAGACCCTGGTATTTTATATCACTAGTTAACAGAACCACTATCTTTTATGAGACAGAATACAAGCTTTACTGGCACCCAATTGTGCTGATTTCTGATTCTAGACAACTTGTTCAATACGTCTCACCGCCTTCTGTGGATTTAATAAAAAGGAGAAATACTGCTGACACTATTCTCCAAATCCCCAAATAATCTTGCCCGGCATTTTCAATTGATGTTAAACAACAATGATGGTGCTTTGGAAAAGATCCATACAATGGGCAGAGCAATAATCTGCCAACACCACCTGGAAATGATCCATCAATTAGGAGTGAAACCAGTAGAGCACATTGTCTCCCATTCTCACTACCAACAGCTGGCCCAGTAGGATACCACCAACAATGTTACTTTTTAAATTGTCCAAGATTCCAAAGACAACTAACAGGCCCACACATTTCCCCAATGAAGGTCAGCCAACAGTGTCAAAAGACCCTCCAACTTCAATACTAGATTGGTAGCCAGATGGAAATTGGTCTAAATAAGAGAGTATCGCCCTCAAATACTTGACTAGCTTTTAACAGGTTTTGAGTACTCAAATAATTTTCCCTAAATGCAGATTTTTACAACTGAGCAGCAGCGGCCAAAGGAAAGATCTACACGAAAAACATTTCAAACTCTGAAAAAGATCAGGGATGAGAGCCATCAGGTTTATTTATTTGTCGTGTCAGGGCAACCAGTCAATTATATTACATTTCTAACGGAACGAAGCAAACAAACAGACAAAATACAGAATTTGTGAGTATGGTAGTTGATTAAATGTCCTTTGACCAGTATCTGGCCACTTGGAGTGCTTCTGGTGTTGCTGCAAGAAGGTCCTCCATTGTGCATGTGGCAGGGCTCAGGTTGCATTGCAGCAGGTGGTCAGTGGTTTGCTCCTCTCCACACACGCAGGGCCGGCCCTAGGTAATTTTCAATGGTAAGCAAACATTATTTTGGTGCCCCCTCCCCCCAACCAATCACTGAAAAATAAAACGTAGAAGGTAGAGGTGAATAAAAGAGTTACCTTACAAACCAGAAATTTACTTACAACATTATGTTTATATAGTTACATTACACAAATTAACTTTTTTAAGAATGCAAATATTTTACTAAACTTAGCAACAATTTTAAGTTTTTGTTGTTATTTTTGGTCTACAAGTACTACACAAAGGTTTCCTGGTCATGCTGTCTCTTCAGAGAAGATTTTTCAGACTAGGGGTTTGCTAATAACAGAGAACTCAATCCCATGCTTGTTGGGTCTGTCAATCAGATTTGTTTTGGAGAACGCAGCCCCAGGAGAATAGACACCTCCTTTTTAAGAAAGTGAACTCTTGTCCTTCAAAAGTGCCATGCCAGCCTGGACCATTACAATGGGTGTGGCAACGTAGTCAGCCTCTGGCCCCTTCACTTTAGTGAATACTTTAACATCCAGTTTTCCTTAACACAAATAAACTTGAACACTTTTAAAATTAAAAAGAGATTTTTCTGGCTTTCAATTTTGAAAACTCGTGTACTATTATATCTGTTTCCATTTCATCCAACAAGCCATTTTCAATGGCCAAGGTTGCTAGTCCACTCAAGCGCTCTTGACTCAAAGTTGATCTTAAATACGTTTTTATAAGTTTTCTAAGATCTACAGAGACACTCGCTGGAACACCTCAGCAAGCGAGAGTCCAAAAGTGGCAGGCTCAAACCCAGCACCTCAGCCCATGGCTGATACCAGATGAGAGACTCCCCCCTGGGCACACAGAGGACTGGGTGACTTGGAAATGGAAAGGAATCACACAGGATCATATTTTTGCAGTCCATTAAGTGTGTTGATGACAAATCAGATAAAGGGAAATTAATATAAAGCAGTGTGTATAAAGGGACATTACATTTGGTAATCTAATGCAGGCTTTAAAAGGTTTTAAAGATCAAGTCAGGGTCTGCTGCAGTTTTTAGTTTTGGATATGTTTTTTATGGATTTTAACTGAATTTTTAAAATACCAATGATATTTAATTCCATTTTAATGTTTGCATATTTGTGGATTTTAGACTGTACTGAAATGTTTTTAATCTAAGCCAACTTGAGTCTTCTTGGGGAGAGAAAAAGCAGGGTATAAATAAACATAATAATGTGTTGTGGAAGGCTTTCATGGCCAGAATCACTGAGTTGCTGTGAGTTTTCTGGGCTGTATGGCCATGTTCCAGAAGCATTCTCTCCTGACATTTTCCCCACATCTATGGCAGGCAACCTCAGAGGAACAAAATCTGGCTACCAGTACCCTCTAAAATCAGAACAATAAATAAAGAGCAACACTAAAAAGGGGGGAATTCCTGACATGAAGCAATCAGGGCCAGTTAACCGCTCCCAACAAAGGATTCCTGGGCAGCAACTAGCTCGGCTTCGAAGCTGCAAGGCCATTAAATACTCAAGATGACCAATTGCAACATTCACACTTACCTCAAGCAGACATGAGTTCTTTTTCCCACCCTGGACATTCCACAGATATACAAACCCCACTTGCCTAGTTACAAACAGACCTCACAGCCTCTTGAGGATGCCTGCCATAGATGTGGGTGAAACATCAGGTGAGAATGCTTCACCAAGCACCAAAGAGCATTCTGAACTCCACCAATAATAGAACTGAACCAAACTTGGCATACAGGACTTCCATGACTAACAGAAATACTGGAGAGGGGGTTGGGAAAAATAGACCCTGACATTTGGGAATTGCAGTTTACCAAGCACCAAAGAACATTCTGAGCTCGACCAACAATAGAATTGAACCAAATTTGGCATACAGAACTCTCATGACCAACGGAAAATACTGGAGAGGTTTGGGGAAAACAGACCCTGACATTTGGGAATTGCAGTTTACCAAGCACCAAAGACATTCTGAGCTCCACCAACAATAGAATTGAACCAAACTTGGCATACAGGACTTCCATGACTAACAGAAAATACTGGAGAGGGGGTTGGGAAAAATAGACCCTGACATTTGGGAATTGCAGTTTACCAAGCACCAAAGAACATTCTGAGCTCCACCAACAACAGAATTGAACCAAACTTGGCATACAGGACTTCCATGACTAACAGAAAATACTGGAGAGGGGGTTGGGAAAAATAGACCCTGACATTTGGGAATTGCAGTTTACCAAGCACCAAAGAACATTCTGAGCTCCACCAACAATAGAACTGAACCAAACTTGGCATACAGGACTTCCATGCCTAACAGAAAATACTGGAGAGGGGGTTGGGAAAAATAGACCCTGACATTTGGGAATTGCAGTTTACCAAGCACCAAAGAACATTCTGAGCTCCACCAACAATAGAATTGAACCAAACTTGGCATACAGGACTTCCATGACTAACAGAAAATACTGGAGAGGGGGTTGTGAAAAATAGACCCTGACATTTGGGAATTGCAGTTTACCAAGCACCAAAGGACATTCTGAGCTCCACCAACAATAGAATTGAACCAAACTTGGCATACAGGACTTCCATGACTAACAGAAAATACTGGAGAGGGGGTTGGGAAAAATAGACCCTGACATTTGGGAATTGCAGTTTACCAAGCACCAAAGAACATTCTGAGCTCCACCAACAATAGAATTGAACCAAACTGGGCATACAGGACTTCCATGACTAACAGAAAATACTGGAGAGGGGGTTGGGAAAAATAGACCCTGACATTTGGGAATTGCAGTTTACCAAGCACAAAGAACATTCTGAGCTCCACCAACAATAGAATTGAACCAAACTTGGCATACAGGACTTCCATGACTAACAGAAAATACTGGAGAGGGGGTTGGGAAAAATAGACCCTGACATTTGGGAATTGCAGTTTACCAAGCACCAAAGAACATTCTGAGCTCCACCAACAATAGAATTGAA